TTTCCCTCCTCCACATCTGTGTAGGTTTTATCTTGCCCCTCAGAGCACTGACACAGGTTTGCGTAGCCAACGGCTATGGAAGACTAAGGCTGCCAACTCCTTGTTCCTACCCCTCTGACGAAGTCCACAGCCCTTGCCAGCAGGAGCCAGATGCTTTAGTGAAAAGGGCATGCTTAGCACCAGCTCGCGTTTGCTGGCCTCTGGAGCCAAACCATCAGCTTCTGCACTGAGGTGTGAATCAGTGATCCCTGCGGCCAGTCCTGTGGGGGAGGAGGCAATCACTGCTGCCAGCAGGGTGATGACAAACAACTGGGTGGCAATGACTGCTTATTCCAGAGTAGCCATTTGCTAGCTAAGTGTTTATCTGTGGCCCTAGTTATTGGACCAAACAAGCCTATCCCACCTTCTAGCTCTCTCTTACGACACCTACCATTGTGCCCAAAAGGCACACCTGCCCGTGGGTCTCTCCCACTGACGCACAAACCAGCACGGTTCTCCAGCGACAGGGCCTGCTGGCTCTGTCAGCCCGTCTGTTGTGATGAAACATATCTCCAGACTGATGCGGTGCTGTGCTGGCCATCCCACCTGATCCAAACCACTGCTAACCAGGACTGGAAATAAGTCCAGGCTCTGCAGCAGGCAGCAGCCAGTAGTTAAACACTGAGCATTGGCTGCTAAAACCTAAAAAAGTCTTAATGTCTTCTGAAGAGATTAGAAAAAAGCTGGCCTCAAGACCTGACTAATGAAATAACTGAAAAATGCTGCATCTCTCTGTGAACAAAGCCTGTTTTTTTCAGTGCGGTGCCATAAAACAAAATCGTTTGTGACTATGTATCACCTGCCTATATTTTATTATTTACGCAGCATAGTTCATTGCATATATGTACTTAACTGATTCTTTAAAACACCAGACTGCATCTCCCCCTAAACCTTTCTTTTTTGTAGAGTAACCCATTTCCTGAAAACAAAAAGCCTCTCCCCCTGGCCGCCTCTTTTGTGGGGAGGGGGGAATAATCTTTTTTCCCTCTGTGAGTTAAAGTGACTCACCAGCTACACAAGATGGCTACAGTAAGAAAGGATGCAGATGCTTTCTTTTTCCCTTTCAGGGCATAACCAAAGGGAAGTGAATATCTCGATCTACCCATTCCCTCCTCTTCTGAGCAAGGGTCAGAAACCTGAAGTGAAAACCGAGTAAAAAGCCTGGTTCTTCTTTACTGTACAATCGATTCCAGACTTGAGCTATACTGCAAGGCAGTCAGTAGGCTGAAGCCACAAGCTGATTTGAACAGCATAGCTTTTTTTTCTTTTTCCCTTTTTCTCCCTTCCTTCCCCTCCTTGGATGAATTCCTTCCACCTTTTATTTCGCTAAATACAGTCCTAAAACAGATGTGACTGCCCAGCCAAGGACAATTTAGCCACGTAATTTGTTTGAAAAATGGAGGTTTGGGATTCATTTTGCAAGGGGAGCAGCCTTGAGACACCAAAGGATTCACTTTACAGCTTCTGCTCCCCAGATGAATGGACAACGCCAGCTGCAATGCACTGCTGCTCAGAGCAGAGGGCACACTTGGAAGCGCTGGTGTGACACCTCCCCCAGTGAGGCTGAATCTTGCTAAAGGTGAATGAAATTCTGTGTATTGTTCAGTGTAATCACTGCTCTGTGCAACAGGCTGCACAACACAAAGGAGGGGAATCATTTATCCGTATACGATTTATCTTCCAGAGCTGTTCTTTGATTGCCGTGCTGTGTGTGAGAAAGATCAGCACTGAACTTCCCAGAACGGACAATTCTGCAACACTCATAATGAGCGAAGGCTCTGATTCCAGGTGTCTCTGCAGCTACCAAACTGCCTCTCTCCAGATGAGGGGGAAGGGGTAATCCTGTGATAGATGTGAAACTTTATTAGAAATGGAACACAGAAACCCTTCAGGGCTGTAAACGCTGGACCCATGGAGAAGTATGAATCTGAAGCTTATGGAGTAGACCTGGCTGGCATAAACTGACAATATTCCACAAGAGTCGCTGGTATTGTATCAGTGATGTTGGATGAACATTTGGCTTACACATGATCATTCTTGCTTAGAGTCCAGAAAAATCATTATGTGTTGGCTGAACATTGCTTTCATTATTTACATGAAGAACACAGACGACCAACATGCAATAACCTGTGCTGGCAGCATCTTGATTTCCCATTCAGACGGATCCCATGTCCCGGTACCTCTTGCGGTACTTCTAGCTTCCCATTTCATGTCCCTCGCAATATCTTACGTTTCCCCTGCCCTTGCTTCACCTTCTCCTCCACCGTTCCCTCTGCTCCTTTCCATGCTTTTTGGTGGCTGAGTGCACGGCAGCATGCTGCGTGTGTCTTGCTCCAAGTCACACAGGTTCTCGCTGGCCAGTGGCAAGCCAAACAAGACAACTGTTTTGCTGAGTGGTCGCTCTAGCGTGGTGCTTTCTCTTTCCTGAGGCCTTGGAATTAGTGCCAAGTTAATGCTTCTCACACCTCTATTAAATTTGACTGAAACTGGCAAATGATTTCGAAGTTACTGGCAGGGGACTGGGGAGAGCAACTGAAGGTAGAGAACGAACAGGGAAACCTCTCTTTTGCAATCAGGCTGAAAGCAGAAGTAGGTGGGAAAGACAAGGTAGTAAGGAAATCAGCCGGAAAATACAAAACTGGAAAAAAAAAACGGGAAATGACAACAGTAATTCATACAGTGCTTATTGCACAGTAAGCAGTGCACCTCTGTTACTGAGTCAGTCAGCTAGGTCTTGTGCGTTCAGTTAATTCCCGTTGGAAGCAAAGCTCATTGAAGCCTGTTTACTCTGCACTGTTCCTTGTCTTTCCTTTCCTTTAATGGGCCTGGAAACCTAGCCGTCCAGTCTGCTATGCCTGCCTTCTGCCTGTCTTCCTTGAATGAGCCACAGGAGGAACAATGCAGCTCAGGGTTCATTAAGAGCAGTGCAAAGATACATGCAGCAGTACTGAGCCACGGGCCTTACGTACAGAGACTCTGTCACACCTCAAGTGTATGCAGCGGGTAAATCCACTTCCACAGCTGGATCCCATATTTCACAGAGCACAATGCCCTGCACACATCTCATCTCTCATCAGTCAGTCCCCTAGCCTCATAGTTTCTGAGCCAGCAGTCAAACGCGTGCACCAGCGGCTGATTTCTTGGCACTCACAGGTGCCATTAGCCCCTCAGAAGCTGCCCCGGCAGCCAGACACTGAATTACCCTGTCATTCTCACCAGGCAGCCGCCACATGGGATGGTAGCAGAAGTGGGGCAAGGCAAGGGGAAGGAAGGTAATAAAAGTGGAGCAGAAATGTGAGGATCTGTGTCTGCACACAGTCACGCTGTCCACATTCACCCAACTGTTAAAGAGGGACTGGAAACTTTTCCTGAATCAGTTCCAGCTTGCAACTGCCCATCTGCTTTCCCAAAGCGTGACAGGCATGGGACAGAGCAGAAAACAGAAGCATCAGTCCCAGGTCTGCTTCAGCAAGTTAAATGCAGGAACAGGGGAGGATCTTCAAGGTGCTGTGTGTAGCAGTAGTTACGGTCAGTCTCAGATAACCTCAAACAGGTCAGGAAAGACAAGGAAAGAAGAGGAAAGGAAGGAGAGACTGTGAAGGCAGAAAGAGAAATACCAAGGAGGTAATGTACGCTGTGCCTGGAGTGAACCATCCACCTCTTCTGACATTAGCTTTTCACAGGGGTTGCACAGAGCTACTGCTAACAGAAATGGAAGCCCTGGCATGCAAGGAGGAACTCATGACTGGGGTAGGGGCAAACAGAAAGAAACCCCTCATCAGAAGCCTCCCATAACTGCATCCTATAAAGATTAAGGGCTTTTCATCCACAGAAGCAACTCGTTCATTTTACTGCAAGTAGGTAATTTTTTTCTTGGTGCTTCCTCACAAGATCCTGATCATTACTGAGCTGGCTTCTCTCTCTAATTTAACAAGCCAAAAAGACGCTTCTATTGCAAAGTGATGGATGCCCTTGCCCTACACCATCCTGCTTCACCTGCCACTTCACATATGTAGCACAGCTTGTCCTAGCAGTTTTGAAAAAAGCACCTACCAGGCAGCATACCTTGACCATGCCATTTTGCTCTGCACCAGGTGAGAGCAGAGCCCACACTGCAAAACATGAATTCCCCCATTCACCTACCACCAAGTTCAGCCCATTTGTATGAACTGAAAAGAGCATCTCTAGGTGCTACAGAAAACCAACTTCTATTTATAAAGATTGCTTGCTCAGATTTCAAACATCTTGACTTTCTGGGTGTTTAGCCTTCTTATCCAGGCAGGAGCCACTTTATTGCAACCTATCCAAGACTGCGGTGCTCCTGAGCAATGCAGACCGTTTTATATGTCTGAAAACCAGACTGCAAGGAAAAAAAAAACAAAATCAATCTGTTTCCAGATGCCTCAAGGAAGAATCTTATTTATATCTGTTAGACCCAATTTGTGTCTCTCTTGTACTGATAAAATCCAGCATTTTGTCCTGTGTCAAAGAAATGTAGAGACAAAGTATGAAGCTGGGCCCTGGTGCTAAATTTCAACAACATCTGGGTGCCTTTCTGACCCAGAGACTCAGAGCAAACTTTATTCTTCTGAAATACCAATTCCTCTCTAGAAGCTGCAATTTATTTCTCACACATTTCTAACTGACTGTCATTTCCTACTGATGCTGATTTCAGTGGGAAAATCTTTAAAACCCCGGACTAAAGATATTTGCTATTAAGTCAACAGCTCCAGGCCGGATCCTCTCCTTGCCTATGTCAAACTTGCACCGACAGATATCCACAGAAATGCGCCTGATCAGCAGTTTAAGTGACGGATTTATCATTAGTAGCTCAACGCTTCCCCTCAATCCGCTCCCAGCTGGTATGAGGAAGGTAAGAGTAGAGTTTAACTTTTTTTTTAAATTTTGATTTTTTTCTTTCTTTAGATACTATCTGCAAAGCTATCTAGCAAAGTCCAAGGGTGAGGCACCTCTGCATAACCCCAGCAGCACCTGTTTCCTATACATCTGTGTCCGTGCCCTGCCCCCACAGTGGTCTTTTAGCAACAGAAATTTTCTAACCCTCTAAAATGCTGGGAAATAGTAGCTGCATGGATCAGCTCTTTTATAGTCATGTATTTGCCTTGTGGCAGCGGCTTACTAAGTAAAATTCAATTTTCTCTCTTCTTACCGGTCTAGGCCGTGTCTCTCTCAGGAACGATTTCAGGTCACCTCCAGCCATGAGCTCTAGCAGGATGAAACGGGGCAGTGCCTGCAAGCTCACCCCGATACAGCGCACAATATTCTGGTGGTTGAACTTGCTGTGGAGACAGGGAGACTCAATTATGGAGCAACTTTGATCGAAAAAGCACAATTGCAGAAAAGAATCAAAATGTTTTGCTATGGGGAATGTTTGGTTTTTTTTCCCCAGAAAGTAACAAATCTCAAAGGTAGGGTAACTGGATAAAGCTAAAGCGCTACTCCTGCACTCTGTCTGTCTGCATAGTGCAGAAACAGAGGTGGGGAACGAGTGGCTTTTGGCTGCTTTTCCTCTTCCTATATTCCGCAGCCTTTTGGGGCTACAGGAAGACTTGTGGGCCACAGGAAGCAGAGAATGTCTGATAACAGAGAAAACTCTGCTCCTAATTTCCCTATCCAAGGGGCAGAAGCTAGGCTAGGGCAGAGTTGTTCCAGATAACATACTGACACAAGGATCTGCTTACGTAGGGAATACTCCTCAAGGTCTGGTCTCTAATACTTCCTTATTTCTCCAGACCTCAATGTGATGGGAAACTACTTCCATGGATTCTAGGACTCAGTCACTGACATGTGACATGACAGCAGCATTAAGTCAATGCCATCTGTTAGTTTTGACTAGTCAAACCCAATCTCCTAAGGTTTGTTTCTACCTTATGTTCTCGTCTCTAAGAGAAACCAAAGGATCCTATTATGAATTCTGGAAACTGGGCCTAAAGATTTTAACTTTGGATAATGAAAACCAGCACGGACCCTCTTGAAAATTTAGCCCTTAATTATCTGGTGCCTCTTCATTTTTAAGAAGAACAGAAAAGGATGGTAATGCCTGTCCTCTTTGTAAAATACTGACAGCCATGCGCTAAAACTACTGTATAGATGTGTTGCGTCGACATCACCTCTCAAAGCACCTGTCTTCTTTACAGTGCTGGGCTTTGCAAGCCTACACAAGTGCTGTTCATCTTATTCATACACACCTAATAATGAGAGCTTCCATGAGGAAGTCCAGCTCATCTTGCTCCGAACACACTTCTGGCAATGTCTGGAAAAGAAAGAAAAAGTTTACAAGGAGAAGATATTTAAACTTACAGATGTAGAACACCTGGCACAATCAAAAGCACTAACATTGTTTGCAGCAATCCTTGTTTCTCTAAAAGAAACCTCACTCTAAGATAACAGCTAGACCCTTACTAAACTAGACTGTGAAGCCTGTTGAAAGGTAAAGATCAGAACACATGGCCCATCAACGCCACCGTCATCCTCCTCCCAGCAAAGAGAATAGCCCAGAGCGCACAGGGAACAGTGCTCAATATATGGGACTCTGCTGTATAGAGGACAAGGAAGGAGACCACAGTTCCTGAGCTCTCTGACAGTTCAGTACTCCTACCTCCCAGCAAGACTATGAACTATAACCAGCAGTAGGACTGTGCTGCTATGTAACCTTGGAGAAAACAAGCCAGCTAGGCTGCTGAAGGCCTGGAGAACCATATCAGGGTCTCTTAGGATTTAGCTTCATATCCAGTGCATATCCATCCTGTAATGGAGTGGTGAGATCCTTGGAAAACCAGCCATCTCCTACCTGCAGGCTCTTTGATGTATGTGTCAGCTGCTCTTGGCCTATTCACAGACTTTTGGCCTCTGACTCAAAGGCTTTGGACAGATGACCACACCAGGTGTAGCACGTGGAGGATGGACAGAAGATGGATCTATTTCTCATACCTGCAGTCTACTGCAGCTGTATGGGAAATCTTTGCCTATTTACTACTTACAGACCTCTTTTAATAGTCTCACAAGCCCATATGCTACAAGCTGTACCATCGCTATGATGGATTGAAGTGTTGCAAGAGCAGCAACCTTTCTAGCCACATCCTTCAGTACTATAGTAACGCTTAATTCATCTTCATTTTTATAACGCATTGGGACTCTGGGGTGAAAGGTGCATGAAACCATCATGATAACTCATACACTGTCACTTACTTTCACGGCCACCTGCAAGGGAGTGGGGTCGCTGGGGATCCCTGCCACCTGACCTTCATATACCTCACCAAAGGCTCCGTGGCCCAAACCCCTGGACAGACCAGAGAAGACAAGAAGGTTTTACTACAGAGAACACACATTATAACACTGTGGTCACAGCTCACAGAATGGGCTCACAATTTTCATGTTAGTGAAACAGGGAGAACTGGATATTGACACTGATGATACCACTTCTCACACTATGCACGGGACCAGACCTTGATGTGATCTTTCCTGGACCTACAATGTATTTAATTGGTACGGAAAGCAATCCTCAAAAGCGAACAGTTCTCAGTGAAATCAAGCTGCTAGCACTGCAGTGTGTAATGGATAGCACTCTTCTATGGCTTTGGTGTCAGTGCTCTAGTGATGGGTGCTCCAAAACAGGCCAATAAAGATAGGTCTTAAGTCTTGGTGTTCCCACACCCTAAACACATTAACAGTTCCCATGATGTTTATGCATCACCATTAAAGAAAACATTGAACAAGAAACTAGGAAGCACAATGGTTCTCAAAGGACCTGAATTCTAAACCAAGTATCTTTTCCTGATTTATTTTGTGATTCTGGGTAAGTACCTTAGCCAGTAAATGGTGATGATAGTGCTTCGTAAAGCACTCGGCTCTAGGAATTTGTGCTCAGAATTGTTTCTGGCACTGATCATATTATAAAATTTACGGTTTTATTTTGAAGAAGGATACAAGAAAAAGAGAAAGGAATTAAAGTAATCACACAACAGATCCTGTCCTATTCCTTGTGATACAGATTTTGCATACTTGTCTATTCAGTCTTCACTCACTTAACATTAAGTCAACTGCTACAACAATAGCTATACCACATAGGTGGCAGGTCATAATTACATAGCAAACTCCGGCAGAGAATGAGGCTGCATCCCAAATCCTGAGTCCCTCTTAATCCTGCACGGGCTGCACATTGGGCAGTAGTAGTTTGAGCCTCTAAGGGACATTCCTGCATCTTGTTTCGGGTAAAAGGCTCTCAATAAGGCTCTCTTCTACAACACGCACTTTCCTGGTAGAGCCAGGTTTGGCCTGAGAGCCGCACTGATTCTGTTCTCTGGTCTATCAGTGGACTGTTTTTGCATGGGCTGTTGCCCTTCTGTCTGTTCAAACAGGTGCTGCTAAAGGCAATCTGCTCTGCTGTTGCATAAGCTCTGCCTGTAGTTTTCCCAAGATAAAGACCAGTCTAGGCAGTGAAACCACAGTGAGGACTTGCGTTGCCTGTGACTCAACCACTTCTTTTAATAACCTTTTGTAGGTATCAGCTTGAGACACTATTCTTGGCTAAGCCTGACCAACTTATTACAAACTGAGGGTATAAAACAGATCTCTATAGCTCATAACTCACCCTCCTCTCAAAAAGCCAACCTTCCCTGCCCTTATCAATTCCCAGCTGTATCCTCTGCTCTCTGCAGCTTGCCACACTTCAAAAATCTTTTCAGAGCCCAAGTGACAAAGGCAGCAGCAGCACAGGGTACACTGGAAAATTCCAGGTGCAGACCAGCAAGATGTGCAGGTAAGGGGGAATGAGATATGAGACAGCAAAACATTGCAGACTGCATAGACTCTCAGCATTATCTTTTTTAGCACTGTAAGCTCCCTAGTCTTCCAAGCTCTCCTGCTTCCACTGCTTGGCTTTTTGTGTAAAACTGCATGGTACAAGGGTAATGTCACATTCACAAGTGGCATGCACTGCATCCTGCAGTAGAGCAAGGTGGGAAAGACCTCTGAATTTTCAGGTTTTTCTTAAGAGACTATTTTGAACTTTCCAGAAGTTCTGATCTAGACATGACTATTGTGTATTCCTGTCTTTTTAATACTGACTGGCAGTCTCAAACCCATTGCTTTTCCTGCTATTGTACTTAAGGATGTCATTGTCTTTACCAAAGATCCCATCAAAGACTTTAAAAGAGCCTCCTGCAAGCCTCAGCCTTCCCAGTATTTCATCTTTTAATACTGGAAATGGGCCATTCAGGCACAGTCTGCAAAAGATATGTCTGAATTACTGGTGATGACTCTTTCAGTTCCTCTCATAATCCCATAAGATTAACACTGCACCTGTAAAAGGTCAAGGAGACTGCCAAAGTCTAGTCCCCTCCACACCAACCTAACTACTGCACCTTTACATATTTCTTATGAAAAGGGGCATGAGTCTAAAAGTGCATGAGAACTTGTACATGCCTGCACAAAGACATGAGTTCACATCTGTGTAAGTGAGCCAGCATGAGTGTATAGTGTGAAGCACGGGGAAGGCAAAGACGAATTTACCGGATGAGGGAGATGTTTTTTCGAGGCACCTCTTTGAGATCACTAATGGATGTGGTCTTTCCTGCAAAGCAGTAGTTGGGATTGTAGTCTGTCATGATAGTGGAGGTACGCAGCTTGCTCAGCTTATATTCTGGGCTCTGTAACTCCATCTGCATGGCTTGTAGCTCCTGGTGCTTCCGACGATATACTAAATATGGAGAACACAGTAAACCAGAGACACAGATTGACTTTGGAACAAGACAGCAGCCGTGCAGCACGTCTCACTGGAATTCACTGTGTGGCCAAATTTCAATGAATCAAACTAGACAGCGACACCATCATATTTCTGTATTCAAATAATTATAGATAGAAAATGGAATCTGAAGTTATCCAGGAACCTTTGATTTACACATCTTATGAAGAAGCAGGCTTGCTCATGAACTGTTTGGAAAAAGTAAAATGAATTTCACTTGCAGAGATCTCTGATTTCACAGTTCTGAGGTTTTTGTTTTGTTCTATTCAGACCTTCCAAGTATGAGTCCAGTTCCAAACTTTAGGGAGTCGGGGTATAACCAACTTTCCTAAATCATGTACAGGTGACTAAATTCTGAAATTAATTATTGCATCAGATTGTTCAAAATGGATAGACTAAACTGTTAGCTCAGAATAACACATTGTACATAAAACTAGCTCATTTTGCAAAACAACTTCTATTTCTAAACGACAGAGTTGGACTAAATTTGAAATCAGTTTATGGTAGTGTCATATTCCTTGAATCACTTCACTGATGCTTCTGAAACGTCATGAGAAATCACACCTTGAAAGAAGACATCCTGTGGGTATTTCTTGAAATAGTAATTGATATTGCAGTATTTTTTTCAAAGCAAGACGCCAATCGTGAGCAGGTTAAACCACTATTACCCTTACTATTGATTTCTGTGAGAGCTGGATTGAGCCCAAAGACTGTGACGGTAATAGCTATTGCATCTTCTCCAGCAGATGTTGCTCAGGGGAAGAATTTAAGGAGTAAACATGCACTCGCAAAGGCAGACAGATGTAATGACCTATCCACAAACCCGTCCTGTCCTCCATTTTCCTCCTCATTGCTTTTACTTTGATTTTTTAAATCACTGCTCTTTCCTGAGATGGCAATGATAGGCCAGTTGGACGGAAAGAGGATTACTCTTCCACTCTCTGAGAAGTAATTAGTAATTTTAAAGGGGTACTGTCAGGCCAGAAATCATACATGTAGGACCATCTGTGTGCAACTGATAACTCCTGAAATTCTTAAAATTGAAACAGCTGCGCAAATCTAATTTAATAGTTGCCCTTTGCTGCTCTGGGTACATCCTTCCCCTCCCCCAGACTACATACAGTGTGGACAAAGAAAGGTGGAAGAGCTGTGGTTTGAATCCCTGGCTGCTTTTCATTGATTCAAGTCTATTCAGCTTGCAATTGAATGCAGGTGAGCAATTGTTTAAAATAAGAAAATGAAAGGGTGAAAAATACCTTTTAGAATTTCAAATAAAGATGCCAAGAATGCCCACATCCTACTAAGTAGCAGTTTGTAAAAGGGGAACCTATGTGAGAATTTCAAGCTTAAAAGTCATGCACTAAGAGGCTAAATCTGTATATAGGCACACAAATAAAGAAGCTTGCTTTTAGGCATTAAGCACCAACAGCTCTCAAAACCAGTGGCAGCTGTGTTCTGGCAGCTTTACACTACAACACAAGCAATAACGTCTCTTTCGAGATGCAGTCAGTAACTGAAACCTCCTCACATTGGTCACTGTGGTTAGAAACAACTACTGAAATCTGAAGTTAAGGCATGTGTGTGGGAAGGTGTCATTACATACAGCAGTAGCTGAAAACCTGAATCCTTTTGCCTCCCAGGGCCCAATTATCCCTGGCTCAGATCCAGCCCTCATATGAAAATATCTTTTGCAGAGAACACACTCACCTATCATGATTCCTGAAAAAGCCAAAATTAAAGCAGCCACCAATGCTGAAGTCACTACAGACAAGACCAAGGAGAGAGGGAGATGAACCACTGGCTCAGCTGTAACAGAGGCAGGAGAAGAAGGAATTACATGTTTGAAATGATCTTCCAGCAGCCACTTTTTTGCAGACAGATTTTTCTGCTCTTCCCTCCATTTACTCATCTGATGCTCCTATAGTGTAGGAGCAAGCTCTGGCATGATCAGTTCTCAGGATCCACAACCTCTAATACCTTGTTGTTTCATTTTCCTCAATTAATATCAAGCCATTAAAACAGACGGTTTGCTATCAACAAATTAACATGTGCACTCCCTGGGTATGAAAACAAGATGATAAAAAAAACAGGGGCAGGAGGTTGGGGAGGTGGAAAGAACATTACATTGCCAGGGTTAAAGTGCTGCTATCAATGCCAAATCACAGCAAAAGCAGAAGGAGGACTGCAACATATCATTTCCTAAATGCATCTAATCCAGGCAGAAAAAACTGGTAACAGTAAGTGTAGTACAAAGTATTCCATAGCTGCATCCTTACTCGGGACCACAAGGCATTCAATGACCATCTATTAAGGTTTACTTCACCCTGGCAAAATGACCATGCTTTTGACCCATTTTGCAGATGGGAATGGCAAAAATACAGAACAATTTTCTCATGCCAGTGACAAAGCCTGAAAGCAGGATCCTGAAACCCTGGAGTCACTTGCTCTAACCGCTAGGCAAGAATATGAAGGAAACCTAGTAATGGAGCCCTGAGCCCTTGGTTTTTCAAGTAGAGCAAGTACAGGCACAGTCTTTAGTTTTCCTCAGAGATTTCTCATGCAGAATTTCTTATAGATTCTGCACCTGCACCTTAGATGTCCAAATCCACAGGAATTACATTCTCCTACACATTGTATGTTTTTTTGGTTCTTAAGAAGAATGACCTGGAATTTAAGTTTAGCCAGCAAATTCCTTCAGTGAGCAAACTTTCATAGTTTCAGAGCAGAACATGAGCATCAGTGCAACCAGGCACAAAATTTGACTCTCCTCAGTGCTGCCCAGTATGCCAAACATATACTGTAAAGCAAACCAGCAACGCAGCTCTGAGCACCATTCCTCAGCACCAATGCGTCTATATCCTAGCAAAATACCTCTACAGCATATAGGAGCAGGAAAGAATGTAACATTCAACAGAAGCCAGTTTTAAGAAAGACTAGATACCACTTTCAAGATGTCTTATAGTCCAAACTACAGATTTTTGCCATGCATTTTCTGTTTCACACGCCAGTAACCTACCCCATACACCTACTTACCTATGCAAGACACACCATCCTCAGCCAACTCTGTGCCTGGCTCACAAAAGCAAATGACTTTTTGAGTCTCAAGATCAACACGGCACTCGTCCATCTCACAGTGACTGCAGTTAAGATGCAGCCTAATATCCACCTCTCCGTGCCCCTCTGTCACTAGGGAGTGGATGAAAGAAGCTGAGTTAACTACTGTAAAGATCATTCATATCATTCCCTTGGGTACTGACAGAAACCGTGACCACGGCTGCCAGATGTGGCAGGGTGAGCCCCATCTAAGAAACCGATTTCTCCCCACCTTCCATAGCTCCTGTCCTTTTCTCATGTAGAAAATAACATCCCGCTAAATCAGCCCCACTTCAGTTGAGGTGCACTGGCTCTTTGAGCAGATAGTCCGACCAAATTAGCAAGGAGGCTGCTGCCGAGGCTAAGGGAAACCTGCCCTTTCAATGGTCTGTGGGGTTCACCCTTTTCTTTCCTGGCCTTTACTCCCTCTGACATCAAACACTGCAATGTTTTCAAAACTTTTTGGCTGAACCTATCAGGCCAGAGTCCATCTGTATTTGAAAATACTTCTGGCTGTTCTAAAGCAAACATTTTTTTTTTGAGCAAATAGATATTTTTGTATTTTCTGAACACATTGCAAACATATTCAAGACACTGACTTCTGCGCAAACACAGGCTGGAGTGGCAGTACTTATCATTCCCATGCACTGCTGGGCAGCACTGCACTGTTTTCTCTAGAAAATCCCTGGTCCAACCTGGATACTTTGCTGAGGGATGCTCTAAGGAACATGTTTGTTAGTGAATAGTCAGGTGCTTTGTCTGTTTTTTTCCTAAATTATCTGAACTATGAGGTTCTGTTACTGCTTTCCTTGGCCAAAATTATTCTATAGGCTGGTAGACTATATTGTTGGGAAGTGACTTCTAATAGCCTTGATGTTCTCTCCACCTGCTTTCTTCCTGCTACTTCTGTTTATTCTCCACTGGACTTTGTTAGGCTATCTTTCTGCCTTCTCATAGTCACGATGACACTAAGCTGTACCCAAAGGGTTGTAAAGTGTCCTACAGATGCAAACTATTCTTAACAGGAAATAAACCCACTAGAAGACTTCTGACCAATGTGAATACCTTTAAGTGCTGGAGTGTATAAAGTACCAATTGGATTAATAAAGGACACACCATCCTCCCCATCCATCTCTGGGTCATTGTCCACTGCAGCATTGCCACCTATGTCAAACCAGAAGTTACCTTAACACACTGAGGCTCATTGGCACTAAAATACAGATAAGCATTGCAACATGCATGACTTCAGCATATTTAGGGAGGCATCCAAATGAGAAAAGAGAATAAATCAAAGTATTTAAGATACAGGGAACACTTAGCAAGTTGTGGCATGAACGACTGGTCTTTTCTCTCTAGAACTTCAATTTAATAGCAGCAGCTTGTGACAGTCAATTTCTTAGCTCTGTTTTAGGCAGACTGTTGCAAACTAAGGTGTAAACTTCATCTTTAACCATTTGGATGCTGTGAAACATAAATTCTTAAAATTAATGCAGCCAAGAGACTGGAAAACACCAGTACTCAAGGGCTAAGTTCAGTACCCTTGCCGATCAAGGTATGTACTGTGTCAGCAGAGGGAATGAATAATCTGATATCCTTCCTCTCCTTTGCACCCTGAAAGCAGGGTGGTCCACCAGGAGTGGGGACTGAGGGAATTTTTGAGTTGCTCATTTATGCTTGGGCATATAGAACATATCAGTAGCAAAGTATGGGCAAAACATAAAACATATTAGAAGCACAGTATGGGCCATACGTTTTGTACTACAAGCATGCAAAGATTCTCCCACCCCACCCAAAAATGGCTTTTCCTCTTTAACCATCTTCAGTGCAATTAAAATTATGTCATGTGAGGCACTCTGTTGGAAAAAGAAGCATTACACAGTAACATTGGTACAAAACATGCACTTAATCATTTAAACTCATTACTTGCTCTCAGGATTTCTAGTCTATCATACACTTGATTTAAACTGTGGAGAACCAGGGGTTAAAAAGTCCACCACAGTGCAGATGGCTGAAGAGACTATGTGGCCCAGGAGATTATGGGTTAGTAGAGACCTTGAATCTGGCCCACACCAGTTATAATCAACATAATGCCATCTGACAGCTGTCCTGAGACCTGCAGCACGTGAAATTAGTTCCCTGTTGACTGAAGTCAACACCACCGTCATTACTAAGAGGGGTCCTGGCTGGCAGCCTGAGCCTCTGCCCCCAGAGACCACCTGCACAAGACCAAGGCCCACCCACAGCAGGGCAGGGTAGAAGCAGCTGTGTCTTTTCCCTGGCATAAAGCCTAGCTGCCAGTCTCCAGGACCAGAGTCCTCAAAACACAGGTGCTGGCAATGGGAGCACATAGCCTGTGGCTCCTCCTTCTTCAGCACTATAACCCCAAAATGGAAGGCTCAAGAATCACAGCAGGATCTTGATGGCACGTTTTGCAGAGTGCAAAGCCAGGATTACAGCTGAAGGACTGACATCTGGCTATTTGCTCAAAGACTAAATGCCATACGTTCATCTAGCACTAAAAAGGCAACACACAGACATACTAGTACATAACAGTCAAATATGCTAGCTACAGGAGAATTATCTATCAGTGTTTTGCTGATCATTAGCACTAAAGGAGGGGAAGGGACACCTTGAACACGAAGCCACTTTACCTATATATCCTCCGCCTCCTCCACCTGAGGAGCACCCCCCTCCACCCCCTCCGAAACCCCCTCTTGTCTCCCACCCCCACTTCTTCATGGCCTGGGGGCAGGATCTTCCTCCAGTAGCACCTTCCAGCAAGGATTTTCCTGACCACAGGAAGGAAGTGTTATCATTCCAGCCACCTCCACCACCTGCAGTTAAGAGAAGAGAAAAGGCACAGGTAGGGGTTATTTTTGTGTAAAAAACACTGCAGGGATCTGCAGAACAAGCACTCCTTCAAAGCACCTCAGCTGAAAGTAAGAATCTCATGCCTTGGTTAGAAGAGGGGATGTGCTTGCTACACAGGGACCTTTCTGTAGGGCTTTTGATCACATTAATCATCTGCACCTCTTTTCACCTACCATACAAGGACAAGTATTTTCTATGGAGAACATAAAAAGATATCCCTGCCTACTCCCCAACCACTTGTTTCTGGCTTACAGAGCCTTTCCCTTCTCTTTGCAAAAAATACTTTTGAAAAAACTCTATGTCGGTTCTGAAGTGGAACAAAATGGAATTTGGAATTTAGTGAAAGGGATGGGAAAACATGTCCCAGCCCCACTCTAAACACAACATACTCACCAGTGACTCACTTTCAGCTCTGCTGGTTGTTCAGTCCAAGGTCTCTTCACAGAGACTTCTAGCCAGGTGCAATTATGCTCTTTCTGCATGAACCAGGGAAACTGTATGTCTATACAGCACAAAACAGTGCGGGGAGCAGGATGGCCACGTCGGCACTGCAATCTCCCACATCAAAAATCAAACAACTTTGCTTATGAGAGGTAATACATTATTTTGGGAGAACGTCACCATTGCTATGGCTATACCATCTCCGATACCCTTATTTAGGCCAAGTATGCTGCACTGTGGGTACACCCTATATGCATCTGTTATACTCCCATGTTCCCCCTGAACTGTGTTTTCATGAGTTTTGCCTCACCTCCTTGTGAGGGGGAATCTGGGAGTACCACATATTCACAAAGGTTTTCTTAAAAAGAAAAAACTTTCCTTACCTGCAGCTCCTGAATTTCCATTCAACCCTGGAATAGAGGAATCATTCTCCAGCCTTTCTGGATGAAATGTGTCTGTTTTGGCCCTGTAGGCCCTGCCACCACCTCCTGCTGCAATTATCAAGGGGACAGGTTCTCCATTCTCCATCTTAACAAATTCAGAAATAAAGGCAGTGTTCAAACTGAGTCAGACACGCAAATGGAAGTTCAACCACATGCTAGTTACTGCATGTTGCACTAAGCAGGCAGCTAGGACGGCTCAGCACTACAAATTACCATTGCATTATTTATGCACTTGCATCCAAAAGACTAATGAATAGCACTAGTCCTACCAAGTTCTGCAACAGAGAACAGTGGCATCAGCAGCTCTATGAATTGTATCTACACTGCTGATGGCTCTTAGAAAGCTTGTAATGTTAGTGCGTGATGACTTTCATCAAATGAAACAGCTAAGGAGCTCTGCTCTATATAGTGCAATACAGCGTCTCCACTGGTGAAGGACTGCTACACTGGAAATTGTCTGAGCATGCAGAGTTATGTAGAAGCTGGGTGATCTAAACATATTGGTAACGCCTGAAACCAGTGTTTGGAATGAGTACTGTCTCAGCTAGTACATGACAGAAAAGATCAGTGGTCCCTAGCTATAGGGTTGCCAACAGAAAACATACAGGCTATCCTCAACTTCTCTTGTCATTGCTCCGTATAGGCCAAATGTGTAGCTGAAGTCTAATGTTCTAATGACAGATTTGAATAAATTCCTGTGGAATTTGCTCTTTCCTGTAGAATTACGCTTCAGCATCTCAGCTTGCATTGAAAAAAAATCCAATTCAAACTATTATGTTTGCCAAGGGAACTCCAAGCCACTGAAGCAAGTGTGGCCATACTGTGTAGCAGTTCTAAGAAGTGTGAAGGGCCAACTCAGCTCACTACAGCTATCAACTGGAAACGAAGGATACCCGGAGCTTGCCTTTGTGGACCCTTCCCCAGAGGTGTACAAAGGGTTCTCAGATATTTCAGGCCGCGGTACTAGAGGCAAGTGGCAGGATGCATTCATGCTGAAGGTGCATGGGGACTATGTTTCCATACCTTAAATATGTAAGTTGCACCTCCCCCTCCTCCACCTCCTCCTGCCCATTCCTTGACACTTCTGTTCACACGTATCTCTTCTTCAATAACATTGTTCTCTCCAATGCAGACTTTCTGTATAACATCATTCATCTGCAAACAGAAAACCAGGTGTGAATTCTGGTAAGAAATCTCTATGTCCTTGCACACACAGGCCTCGTAGACCCTTCACCCTCCCAAGCCAATAAATTGTCCTCCAGTGAAACGACATAAGCAGAAACAAGCGAATGCTCTTCTAGAAGAGTCTCGCTTTTTGCTTCAACCTTTGTCAGAAGAGTATGTTGCCATTTTAATTGAATTATTTTGCAGCAAGCTCAGTGCTGATATCTATTACCATGTAAAACAGCTCCATAAACTTTTAACATACAAGATGCAGCAGAATTTACTGCAAATACTTCCCAGCATTAACTATCTGTATTTCACAAGTGGGGGAAGGGAGTAACTCAGCAATGATGTGACTTGCTCCATGTCATGCAACAGCCAAATGGCAGAGACACAGAGAGAACCCAAGTTTCTTCAATCCTCTTCCAGTGCCCCATTGGTTGGGACCAGGCAGCCAACACACATCTATCCAGAACTAAGGTGTACTAGTGGCTCACATAGACGTACCAGAGCTAGCTTTAACCTAGGTAGTCATAGCATGGACAGTACCAATGAGCTCGGTATAGACTAGCCACCTAATATTTATCTAGACTTCCAAGCAAGTTTTGATGTTGATCTGATGCTTACGCTGTAGCAGCAATTTTACTGTAATTACCAGTGCTAGCTAGTTCAAAGCCTACCAAAACAGCTGCAATCCCACCTTTTATTGCAATGTTGACCTGATGTTAAAGAAAATACCTCACTAAAAAGCCTCCATATTTCCTACTTAGCATTTTTCCCCTCCACCAATTAGCACCAAATGCAATGAACCTTCTGTATTAGGCAAATCACTGAATTCACTAACTGATGTCAAACACAACATTAAACCATCATTTATAAGTGCTTCTGGACTATGACCTAAAAGAGGTAACTGTCACTTCGATTTTAAATTGGAGCACTGAAGTGCATGACAAGCAGGACTCTGTTGTGAGTATTTGTAAGTTGCAAGCTTTGCTTCTAGCTTATTTTACTTTATACATTTCATCTCAGTAACACTGTCTCGTTATGCACACTGAACTCACTAAGTCAACAACACTTCAAGGGAAAAATGCACAAACAGTTGTTATAGTAGGACCAACCTTCTGCTTCCTTCTACTTTCATATATGTGTTTTCTTTGGGAAGAGGAACATGATAAAAGCATCCTCACATTACAAATTATGCTGTTGACCACAAAATGTGTCCTAGGTTGTGCCAGAGAATGAATGGCATCCATTTTGTGCGTGCAGACTTGCCTATGGAACTAAACAATCCTCCTGTCCCTAGTCTTCCCTCTCCTTAATTGATTTGGAGTCGGGTGGGGATGATTAATAAAATGACAAAGTCAATGACCCAAAGGAACCACTAGATTACAATTGAATTAAAAAAAAAAAAATCCTTCATGGCAAAGACATAACTGATTACAATCCAATCTAGTAAAAGTCCCTTTACAAGTCAATGCAATCTCTTTGCCTCAATGAAAGAATTACATTAGCACTCAATAAATTCTCACTAAGATTACAGTGGCCTACAATTTAATGAGTCCATATATTACACTCAGCTGGAATGTCCTAGTTACAGACGTTAGATGGAGGTTTGAGTTAGGGCATTTCTCATTTCAAAGAGGCTTCGTATTAATGGTTTGTTTGTAGATATGTATAATTCCAGTTTTAACATTATTTACTTCAGCATCTAGCCTTGAGAACCCCTCTTTCTTGTCTACATCCTTCAGCCTTTCTCTGCTGTAACAGACTGCTAAGCTTTCATCTCTTGGATGCCAGCCATTAACAGCTGAGAAATGCACAGCATTTAAATGTCCAGCTCAAACCTGTAGGTGAAATTTCATCAGATAATTCTTAGTTTCCTCCATAAGAATCTCCTGTTCCCTCATCCTCCAAAGAATACTAAATGATTAATAGATTATTGTGCCTGCAAATGGTGAAAGTTGCACCTTTCTGTCAAGGCATTTGCAGCAATGATTGGTTAGTAACACAAAGATCACCCAGTGGGGATTACTTTGTCTCTCCCATTCCCTTACAGAGAACACCCAAACAGGCCCTGTGGTGGGTGTCTCCAGAGTTGCAGAGTACTGTAATAATGGCAGGGCTGGGTGCAACAGCAGAGCAAAGACAAAGCCCTGTGAAGTCAACCTTGAAGACTGATCTCCAGAGGAAAGAAAGGCAGGGTTGTCTTTGCTCTCCAAAAACCCACACAGATGCTCTGAGATATGCAGATCAGTCAGGAATCTGTAGTGTATTATCAAAGGGGCCTGAAGGTTGAAGAGGAAGCGAGAACAGTGACATGGTACTTCATCTTTTCAGATCATGCCCTCCCAGTAAAATTCTAGCTATCCCTTGAACCACATAACCCCAAAACCCCTCAAGGACAACGGTTTTCTCTGTAATCAGACAAAACTCCATGGATTTGTAGAAGGGATTAAGGCAAAACAGAAAGGGCAACCACTTACACTAGGACAAGCATCTTCTCCTTGCTGTCCCACCAAGATATACAAGGTGTCATCCTTCTGGAGGTCAAAAATTCCCAGCACAGACACGCCGTGGGACCGCACCATGGTGTTCTTCCCTCCTTTCCCACCAGCAGCTCCATAGCCTGAGATGCTGCAGGAAGAAGAAACAAGAGCCTGGCACCCAAGTTGTCCCAGACAGGTGGAAGGTAGTACAAACCACTTCTGGGCAGTGAGTGTTTTGCGCACCTGAGCTGTATACAGTGTCACAGGGCTGTGCCCTGAAGACCTGACACTCTAAATAAATCTAAACTCGAAGCTTGAAGATTGAGGTTCTCTACTCTACATGGGCCTATGAACTTGGGTAGCTATAAAACAGCTTCTTTCACATTGATTCTTGGGCAAACACTTGCTGAGGACAGAGTGAGCAAGTCCCTGTAGTTTCAAACTTTAATATATGAAACACATCTTGTTTCCCAGAAGGCATACCCTTGAGAGGTTTGCAGCAAGGAAGAGAAAGAACGGAAGCAGGAGAACCAGTAAGTACAGCACATATGGCTAAAGAGAACATTAAGCACAAGATTGACAGGGGGAGATTTGAGAAAGCAGACAGCATAACTGGTCCTGGTAGCATGGACCAGATGGGAAACAGCTCTCCTATTCCCAGGACCAGAGGAATATAGAAGAGTAGATGGACATGACACTACCTGCAGTAAAGAAGGAAGGCAAAAGCCCCCTGGCTAAACTCACAGCCACCTCAACGTCTCACTGTCTCTAGCCAGGGGTAGCTACGTTGCACACACTGGCCGCTGCAGTCTCAATTAAGGCTCTGTGACTTTTACTTCAGGCAGTCAAGATTCAGGGGTCCTTACTGTTGTTGATGTACCCGAAGATTTTACTGTACCACTGTACTGTTCAGCTCCTCCCTCTCCCTTTCTAAGTACATAAACAATCTACATACTTGAAACAGCATTTATCAAAGAATTTCAAAGGAAAATCATGATAAAACACACACCTCTGCTGCAACAAAAGACAGTTACTCAACTTTCTGAGCAAGTGACTGGTGGTACAGCAAGCTCAATTTAGATCTGAAATAAGCAGCTGATTCTCCACCGACGTTAGTAGCTATTTCCATGAGAGCAAAATTCAACCTGGAGCATGTTAACAGTGACTGCAGGGCTGAGAACACAAAACTTCCTCTTGGCTTCCTACCAGTTACAGTAGAGGTGCTCTGCTTTAACGCCTCCTTTCCTCTAGCACCTGGGTGGTCCTTGCCCAGCACAGTCCTGCATGCAAACAGGCTACAAGCAGAACGAACCAGCAGTGCCCATCGTGCATAAGCACCCTGGACAAGTTGGGCAGCCAGCTCACTTTCAGCCAGCAACTTGCCTTAACGATTAGCATGAGGAACTCACCTTGTGATACTGCTCTGAGGCAGCCAGCATGAAGCAGTTCTGATGTCAAAGCAACTATGGAGCATCAAGTGCCTCGTAAAGCACATTAGATCCTCTCAACGTGACATGATTACGTTCATGCCACTGCTGATAACCAAAGCAATCATTCCTCAGCAAGGCTGCACTGGAGCCAGCAGAAAAAGTGATGGACACAGCACTGGGCTACCATGAACAGATGCTGCATAAATCTGAAGACTCAGTTGATCTGCTGTAGAATTTTGTAATGGCTAATGAGGTGCACTATCAGGCACAGCAAGCTGGCAGGGCTAATCAGCTGCAATTAGGGGCCATATTTTTCTATGTATTAACAGATTTTGCATACAAGCAATGATGTCAGGGAGTTCAGGAGAACCCATTTTGGCCTCATTGAAAGGCTGCAGACAAATAAAAATGAGTAGATTCAGGTGACAGTCATTCCCTATTCAAAATGAGTGTCACTGTTTAAACAGATGGGTTATCTTGACTTCAAGTTTTAGCAGGATCCCTTTCCTTAGGCACAACTTTCTTTTACAGAAGGAATCCATTTAACTATATTGGCCCCGAAGAAATACTCAGACCACTCTGACTAGATATAACCAGAACATGGAATACCTTCCACTGTCTTCCTCCTTTTCTTTTACTATGACACTTGTAGGAACTGAAAAAGAAAACTGCATCTTCAGGAGGGATCAGGATGAGCAGAGTGCACTGGCTGTGCAAACCACGGCTGGAGAAAGAAATCCACCTCTAGGTAGACAGGTCATGGGAAACACTGGAGCTAGTTTTGAGAGTAGGAGAAAGTGCAGTGCCTAGGCTGGCCAACTTAGAAGGACACCTTTTTGTATTCCACTGGGCCGTGTTCTTATGCTACCTTACAAGAAGGGACCAGAGAAAACAGAGGACAGTGGAAGTGACAGCAAATAGGGCACTCAGCAAAACGGACCAAAGACACGTGTATTAGAAATGGAAAGAATTTGGATAATGGATGGTAGCGTGTAATTTATTACAGTTCACTTCTCTCATACTTGATCATAGGCTTAGATATAGGATGACAAGACCTTCTGAATGCTTAGAAGGAAATCTGAAAAGAAAAATATTCCTTTACATTGCCTAACTTTATTGCTATACAATGTGCAGTCCCATGGGAGCAAACCATACGATTTTGTCCACGTCGGCATTGGAGCATGTAGGACTCCAGTCTTCAAATGAAGCTGGCTACAGTGCGTGGCAGCCTACCCAGACCTTCATAGATGGTGGGGTTTTCTGGGTGTGGCTAGCTTGTGCTAGTAGAGTTTTGTGCAAAGTTGAGCTTTCCCTCTTTGCATTTTAGTAACACATATTCTGCCTCGTGTTCACACTATCTACGTCCTTCTTATGCAATTACCAGGAATGTAACTCACCACTCTACATTACACAGTGTAAAACGCACTGATATGGCATAACAACAGCTTTCTTCAGAGCCCAGCAGCCAGCTGGAGGATTTTATTTTATATGGGTTAGGTGTATTGGAGATAGCTATTAGGCTCACTTACAGGACCCACAGTGCAGCAGGCCTGCAGAGGAGAGCTAAACACAGGCAGTGGGTTCAGACTCTGGGAAGCCCTAGAATTGGTATTGCAACTCGACATTCTCCTAGGGCTATGCTATACTGGGGGACTCCGCTGCCCCTTCAGCAGCCCAGAATCAGGAAGATGTCAAGTTAATTTAAGCCCACAATTGCCTCCTCCTTTCCCCAGGCTATGAACTCTCTACTATAGCTTTAAGAGGTGCAGAAGAGAATGTCATCCATTTATATACAGGTTACCAATGACATTAGCCATCTATTATCTATACAGAACCTAAAAGTCTGTTAGGTCATTTATAGGACTTAAATAGACAGGTCCTCCTTGCAGGATCTGTGGTTTTTATGGTGTAGCAAAAATTAGCCTACAGTTGCACTGGAATTCTGGCTCTTCTTGGCCTGTGATATTAAAGAAATGATAATGCTGTAAGTTTATTGCCTCTTCTCTTTTGGGCTATACTTTATAACCATATTTACTGAATGCTGGTCCTGAAAAATACTATTCACCTCAAGCAACTGATTTTTTGATAGCTGAGTAGAACATCATTAATGCTTTTTTCATTACCATCAATCTTTGTAGTAATAGGCACTCAGGTGGAACTTGAGCCTAGCCTAGCCAGTTTCTCAAAACTGCTTTGCAGTAGACTTCTGTTAGAGAGTGACATCTATCCTCAATATTAATATTCTTTTTCAATAAAATAAAAAAAAAGAAGGTGCCAGTAAGTTTTAACTGAAATTTGTTCAAAGCCTTCAGTGGAATGTTCTGCTTTGAAATCCATGATACCATCATTGGTTTCAATAGGGAATGTTGCATAAAAAACCACCACTGGACAGTCATTGATTCAAACAGACAGTTCTGCTTACAAACTGATGCATGTAATGGCTTGATGTTACCATTCAGATACAGTGAACTAAACTTCGATTGTACTTCTTTCCCCAGCAAGAGCAAAAAGAAAAAATAATTGGTAAAAATCTGATTAAGTAGCATTGAACCATATCTGATCATCTCCCTTTGAAAGTAACTCCACAGAGGGATTTAAGTGTTAGAACCCTCAGTATCATGGAGCCTAACATTTAGGTGGCTGGCTTCCAAAATCAATTCTACACCAGTGAGCCAGGCTTACAGGCTCAACTTACCATGCCTAGATTCAAAAAAGTCAAGATGCTGAGCAGAGCTTGATGCAAGCTGTCCCACAAGAAACGCTGACATACCATTGTGCCTCCTACACCAGGTGAAAAGTGGGAAAAACTCCTTCTGATCCCAGAATTCAGTGGATAGCATATGGGATATGTATGCCCCTTGGCCTGGGGAACTCAGAACACTTGATTTTCAGCTACCTATAGAGCTCTCCCAACCTGTAACCATTTAGGCTAAAGATTTGTCTGCCTCAGATGGTTGCTTCTCTTTCTTTTCTTCTCTCTTTCACCAAAAAGTCACATCTTCCAGACAACAAATCTGAGACTGGAAAGGTTGGAAATCACAGGATCAAGGAGAAGTAAAACCCAAGTAGATTTGGCCCAATTTCTGAATATAATACTTCATATATGCATAGCATGTATCTGCAGCTTGGATAAGTTTCGAACGCAAAAATATATCATGACAATCAGAGGTGGTTCCCTTACCTGTATGTGTTGGTTGCTGGTACTCTCCAGATCTGAATGCCTTGGAGAATCCCTTCAGCTCCTACAATCACACTGAGGTTGGAGTTCCTGTAGGCATCATTGCATTGGCTCTGTGTGGGGCCATAGGGTCCGCTGGCACCACATGTTGTGAATAACCAATGATCTGAAATGAGGACATATACAAAGCATGATCTGAATATCCAAAGATCAAGTAGCTGTTCTGGTCTTTATTCACCCTCTCTTGTTAGACCAAGAGAAGTACCTGGCCTTTGAGGTTTTAGCCAGAACAAATACTCACAGAATTCTTTTAAAAGACTCATAGTGCTGTGTATCTCAGTATTTGACAGCTTTTCATCACATCTCCTGAAAGCTATCACAACTATGAACATAGTTTTACTTTTTCTAAGGTTCAACAAGTCAAAGATCACAGAGTAGAGTAAAATGCAACACAGACCACCTAGTTTTGGGCTCTGCTCTCTTGGGCTGTTAAACTGCATGCTCATAACCTCAAGACTGGTGCATTTTAGCCCTTTCAGTTTCTACAGACATTTGATTATTAATTTTTTTTATATAGGAAAGTAGCTGCTAATTAGATAAAAACCTGTAAATACAACATCATCTCAGTGATTAAAAACGTAACAATTAACTAATCGTATTTTGAATAATTATTTGCTCACAAGAGATTCAAGTTAAGCTTCAGAAGGCAAAATACCTAACTGTGGCCTGTAAAACAAGCATTCAGCTCTGCACGTTCTAGGCCAGATCTGCGGGTGTAAATCAATGCATCCCTATTACAGCCATTTTCATGTACTAGCCCTGTACAAATAGGCCTCTAGAACAAGGCTTTATTAATTTGTGCCTCAAAGACATAATTTTTTAATTTGAATACATGATGCTGAAAATGCCATCCTTTTCCTTAAAGATTCATTATTAGGGACAGTGCAGTTGCAAGACCACAATGCTCTTGTAAACCCCACCCTAACGTATTTGCCAGTACATCAGGAAATATTTCACATGTAATCAAAACTAAGATCTAGATGGTAAATAAGTGGACTAAACATTTTTGGTGCACATTACATGATTTATCATTCATACTTATTAACAAGCTAATATACACAATCTAATAAACTCTGCTAGCTAATTCTCCTGCCATTAAAGACAAAAGACTTGAAATACATCTAAAGAACGTTATTTCTACAAATGATGTTGGGACAGCCAGCCTTCCTTATGGCTTTCTCAAAGGGCACCATTTTTCCCTCCAGCATCCACTAATGCAATACAACATGTGCAGACTCTTTCCGTGATGGTACTCATCAGCTCAGATAGAGCATTAGCTTGATCTGCTGCTTGGAATTTGGAGCTATTGCCTAAGCAGATCTGGTCTAGAAAGGATGGTCTGCTTGGGCCTGGAAGAGAGAGGCCAGCAGTTCCACCATTACTGTTACTGGAGGGGTTCACCCACCAGAAATACAAGGAAATACATTAGTTTAGCTAGGCAGAAGGTCTGAATTACCTTTTCACAAACTAATCCTGAAGTTGAGCTAAATTCCTTCTTATAAAAAAGTTCAATGCATGAAATGGATCAAATAATTTGGCAGGACTTTAAGAAATAAAGTGGCTGGTATTTCTGAAAAACCTTTGTAATACAGTCTTGGCTATTCCAAGAAGCAATGCAAAACTACTACTTTAGGAAAGCTTCCCAATCTAAGCACTGCTGAGAGAATAATCTCCTCCTCCTTACTGCAAAATCCATGCCACCGTTCCTCAAAACTCCCCTGCAAGGGTCCTCTAGAGATTTTGCTACCGTTACTTGTTTTGTATAGATACTTACATACTTATTTTTCTTATTTCTCCAATCCTTCTACAGTGGGTGGCAGTATAAAGTCTTAATATTAGTAGATAGCAAATAGAAGAATTCCCCTCTCCTCCTCTGCCTTCAATGTTCCCCCCAAAAACCCAGGACAAGTAAAAGAGGAAAAGCACCTAAGAAAGTAAGGTCTAAAAGTTCCTAAAGCAAAATGCTTCAGTAGCTCTGATATTGACAGTCTTGCACCAGAAGTTACTTATGTTTATTCTTGCAAAAAAAAAAAAAAACCAAACAAACCCAAACCAAAGCAAAATCTCACACAAAATGGAAGATGAGAGACTCATTCTGTCAGCTATCACAGTGATTTAACATTGCAATACCCCAGTGGGCTAAGCCACCTGCACTGAAACATATGTTTAGTAAAGCAGGCAGGTAAGTGTCTTCGTTTGGAACAGTAAGAAGCCATTTGGATGTCTCCAGTGAAACATCAAACATGTTCCCAAAGGTAGAAGCAGGTGACCTTCAAGGGGACAATAAGCCCAAAACATGAGAGAATCAAAATGGAAAACTGGAAGTGATAAAACCTAGGACAGACCACAGCATGTGCATACTGCTGCTACGGTTAAGCTTTCCATTTCTGACTTACTCCCTTTAAATAAATCTCGTTCCTTAGGTATCTGCTTACCCGGCCTTGGCAAAAGTATCTCTGGACTATCACATGTGTAAGACACAGCACAGCTGGACCTGAAACTGGCAGCTCTTGACTCCCACTGGGTTCCAGGGACAGGGGATCAAAGAACTACATCTTATTCCAAAATGCTTTTTAATGGCGCTCTGTTTCCTTAAAAGCCCAATGCCCTGGTGGGACAGAAGAAAAATGTCCTTCTGCTGCAAACATTACGCCTTCAGACTTTGAACTGAAGCAACCAGAACAACTTTTGTATTTTCTGCCTCTTGGACAGAGTAGTGGGGGCCCACTTCCAGTGCAGAGGCAGTATCAGGGTAAACGCAAACAGTGCTGGTAATTTAAGATTAGTGAATGTGCATCTAAGCTCTTACAATTTGGTTTTTAAGAGCATGGGGAATGAAAAACCACAGATATGTTATGCCAGGGAGTATGGTGTAAGGAGCCTGGAGATGACTGAGCACAGGAGGTACTATCTTAGATTTCAAAAGCAGTCCTGTTGTAATCCATACAGTGGTATATACAAGATTATATGTAAAGCCCTCCCAGGTTCTGCAGCTGCTGCAGTCAGTGCTAGCAGACATATTTACTTGCTCTATTCAGGTAGATGGTAGACAGGAATGGGAGAAGACATGTTTCAGAACTAGCAGGCCTTTGCCCAAAACACTGCTGGAGGAAGTCTGGGCCCAGTGAAGTCCACGGGGAGACTGCACCTGATTTGAACCAGCAAGGGTTTCAGTAAAACCTACAGCCAGGTGTTGGGCGATCTCCTCATTTGTCACTGCTGCATTGACTTGCAAACAGTCCTCCTCCTACTGATATGCACTTTCATATGTGATACTGAAAGCCAGTCCAACGTGTAACAGCTTTGTTGCTGAATTAAATGGGACAGAATATGGCATGGGAAGAAGCCTCCCCTCATTTCAGCATAATTAGGACAGATGGGTCTTAGTTACAATCCTGGATACAGACTAAAAACATCGCACTCCCCTCCCTCTGCTCTCTTAAACGCTTCACAAAGCCAACCCTCAATCTGCGGATGTAACAGTAGGCCAAGATCTTAAACCACTAACATGGTAACGAAACAGAGTACTGCCCATCTTAGATAACCCACCGCTTTTTTTCTTTAAGTAAGAATAACCGTTCACTCCCTGTAAAGTATTGATTTTCTCCTGATTCTAGAAATGACAGCAGCATGTCTCACGAGCTCAGAGAGAGCATTTCTACAGGTTGCTGCATGCCACAGCAGTTTACAGTAATTCAATTTGAAGCATTATTTTCATCTCCGAAGACTAAAGCAGCAGCACTGAATCGAAAATCCTTAAGCAGCTAGGTGAGAAGCATAGATTTTTTCCATCGGTGCACAACTGTGGTCTGTTGTATACTGCACAGCATACCTCTCTTTCCTTCTGCAGCGTGCAACAAGCTAATGTTGATGGCACCTCACACTCACATGACAGGGAAAAAAGCAGGACTCTCCAGTCTAAATCTAAAACAACTAGCAGATTTTGGAAATTTGCCCGACTTCACACAAGTTACACTTGCCCGGTTTCCAGAAACAGCTGAGCATTCCCATGATGAAAACTAACAGGTAGTTAAATGTAGGGTCCCTATATATTCTGTCATTGGCAGCTGCAAGATGCTAACTGGGTTTAAAAACTGGAAACTCCTGTTTAAGGCGGAGGAAAAGAAAAGAAGTGAAGATTACACTGAGATTCAGAACTGGGGTACTACACTTCAGTGAATGATTTATACATCAGTTCATCTGACGGAATTCCCACTTTCACAAGAAACGTGGCAGAGGAAACATTTGGTTTTCTGCTTGTTCACCCACACACCTGCCTTCCTCAAGCTCCTCAGCAATCTCCCCAACACATTGCTAAGGTCCCAGAAACAACGTTTTGCAAGAAATGCCATTTTGGCTCTATTAAAACAGACTTAAAAAAATTCCTTCTTCCCAACTTTTCTTTCCACATTAGATTTACTGATATATTTACGCGCACAGTCACTCATGTTCATTCTCTTTTGCACAGCAGAAATTCTAGTTTTCACGCAGCTTGGCTAGATACGTAAAATGCACAGCAATCAAGGTACTGGATTTCAGCCACAGCGAAGGGGAGTGATGTCCTGCTCTTGGAAAACAAAAAGAACAAAACCCCACAAGACTTAAAATGACTAATTCATTTGAAGCTCTCATACTACTTGCAGCCCAAGGCAGCACTGCTGCAGGCGCTGCTGCAAATAACAACCAGCAACAACCAAGAGAAAACAGTGGAGCAAAGCCTAAAGCACATTTGTACTTCTAACACAGAAAGCAATTTCACTGGCACACAGAGCACATAAACTCCCTATCACAAAACAGACATAGGCATTTTAGCTATACCTCGAGGGCCTAAATGTATTAACAGGCATTTGTTAAATTAAGCTGATTTGTACCGAGGTTCAACTCATTCCAAACCAAAACTTTACTGTGATTTGAGAAAATTACCAACCAAGCACCCTGCTACTTGGCTTATTTTGGAACCTAGAGCAATGCACTAGTGAAATGCATCAGTGCTTTAAAACAATGTGTAGGCAGTTTGTGGAACTTGCTGCCACAACCTCTATTCAAGCCAAGAGGCTATCTCTACTTCCAATAGAGTAAAAAAAACCCATAGAATCATAGAATGCT